TGTCCTTGACAGATAATAAAAGGCCGCAGACATCATTAGTGTCCATCACAGGACTCCTGACGCCTACTGGAGAGGCCTCTGCTTGCTCATGATCAGAGGTAAAATCTTTCCAGATTGATCTGAAATTACTTCTTTAGTGTTCAGATCTAGCCATGAAGCCAAGCGTGGTTTTCCATTTCAACCTTAAAAACCTGCTTGTGAGGTTCTGAAATCATGTCAGCTCTGCTTTTCACAATGTTTTTAGGGAGTCACCATGTCCCCAGAAGAGGGCTCATGGGATAGTTTATTAGAATTTCAAAAAAAGTGCCACCTTTTGATCAGCTCATTACTAGGCACAATCCGACGCCAGGCCATTTGTGATTATGAGAACATGAAAAAGCTACAGCTGGTAGCTTTTTGAGCGGCTACTCCATACAATTAGATGTTAAGGCGTCTGCTGTTAGACGTTTCTAGATATTGAATAGTTTCTTTACTTTCTTGACTTGTGTATGGTAGCACAGCAAACTCATAGGAATTAGTAGCGATGGTACATGCTGGGTTTTCTAGACTTGCATTTTCTAAATTTTTGTAATAAAATTATGTATATCAAAAAAAAAAACAAGTAGATGGCTGAAATCTAAGAGACTTTTTTGAATGTGTTTAATCATTTAAACACATTTAAGAGACTTTTGAATGTGTTGAATCATGTTAATCACTTTATAAATGTGAAGACTGAAAAGGAGCCCTCTGAATTTCACGTGATCCTAGTGTGTGCAGGTTAGCACACCAATGAAGACCCGCCTTGTCCCAGGCCGCAGGACAGCAGCACAAGCAATTTGTTAAAGCAGACGGACAGTGGAACACTAACATGGACGGTAAACTGGAATGAAATTAGATATTGAAATGTATTTCTTTCAGGCTTCCCATGAAGTTTCACATTTACACAAACGATCACACTGAAAGAAGTCAGCGGGGAAAGGCTGTGCTACGGCGGGTGTCGTAGAGACAGAACGAGCCACACGCTACGGCCTTCATAGTCACCATTCCCTCGGTTGGTCCAAATATTTACAGTTCATTGTTATGACTGCCAACACTGGCAACTATGGGATTGTTGTCTCAATTAGGACAGTAAACAGACTGTCTCTTTTTTCTTTAATGAAAAAAAAAAAAACCTAAAATGTAATACTTCACAGTTTAGCATGTTTATTCATTCCAACGAGCTCAAAAATAATGGTGTGACATCTGTTCAAGAGGCACTGGTACCTCAGATTTTGGCTGCCTCCCCACCAAATTGGTTGTGTGGGTTTTTTTTGTTTTTTTTTTTTTTTAAATAAATAAAGAATAGAGGGAGGTGCTGTCATCAAAAAATCTTCTGGCATTTAAAGTATCTTATTTTTCTAGAAATAAGGATCTCAAGTCTGTTGCTGGTGATAAAAAAAAAAATTAACAAAGAGACAAATGCAGAACACAGCAGCAGTTCCATGTTTTTTGCATGAATTGACTGACTCGCTATCGTTATTTAGGTGACTCCCCTGTCCCCTCTATATTTACCTGGATAAGCTGAACCCTGTATAAAACAGTAAGAACGTTTATGTAGGTGCTGAGTGCATCTGTTACAGCCTCAGATAAGCGTCAACTAATGGTAAAAAGAAAACAAACTTTAGATAGGCTCTGGCTTAACAACCTTCTATTATGAAAGAAAAAAAAACACATTAAAATTTAAAATGTACGTGGATAGAAGTTTACTTTGGAAGTTTATTTATCTAAAGCATAATTTGCACTACTGAATTATCATTAACTATATATTTTAGAATCTGGAAAATATAATTCTTTTGCATTCATATAAATATAACCATCACAAGGGAAATGTAGCTTTATTTTCATTAGGAATGAAGATGCGTACTAAGTTATATTGAAAACATTTGAGTATGGTTTTTAATGATACTGAGATTTAAAAAACACAGCATATTTGGTTTTCTAGAAAAGAACAATGTGACATTTCCACAGTAAATGTAATGCTGGTTTCTTGATATTAAAGAGAACCGGGATGAAACACATATACGACCCAATTCAACCAATGACCATAAATGCTAAGTGTTAAAAGTTGATGAATATTGTGATTTTTACGTTTTATTTATTAGGTGCAAATAAGTTTGATCATCCAATACATACAAAAACTGTGCCAGACTCTGAGAGGACTAGAAAATATTAACTGAAATGTTAACATGCATTTACTAAATACATGTAGATCATTATATTGTTGAAATTATAGAAATGAATAAGAACATATAATCAGTATCTTACAATCATTGGTTGGGATGGGAGTACTCTTTCCATCTTTATGAAATATTGAAAAGATAGAAAATCTTCAAGTGTTTTACCACCTTAAAAAACAGTAACAAACCCCATGCTGTTACTACTAGTAAGATAGGCTTTTTTGTTCATTTGTTTTTAAAAAAATTCTAGATGAGGTTATCTTTTTACAATATTTCTTCTCAAATGAATTTTATAGTCTTTCTTTTATATGCAAACTTCATTCACGTGGGCGATCCGTTAAGTCTGCTGCAGTAGTTGCAATTTATTCTGCAGAATATGTGAACAGACTCAAACATTCTGAAAAGCCATTATAATTTTTCTGTTTTTGTCTTCTGAGTTACTCTGTGCAGTCGATTATTGGAGGGGAAAAACCAGTGCTTCAAGTGAGTATCTGGTGCCAGTGGCAGACGTGTGCCAAACACCACTTACTACGTGTGGTCCCTGAACCACAGGCTGCCTGCCACCTCTGCAGAGAGTGAAACCAGACTGCGACCTGGGATTTCTCTGCAGAGGACTGGCTGCTTCCCAGTGAGCGTGAGTATGGAATATTTGCCCTTCACAAAAACAGTATTATATAAGCATACTAGTATACTGTCTCACGTCAGCTGCTATTTATTAAAATCAGAGTTTAGCCTTCGGGACGTATGGCTGTCTGGGGCTATCATAAGTCAATCAGTCATACAAATGGACTAGCCACAGGCTCAGGGTATCAGAAAACTAGGTCATGAAACTTTAGGATTATCTAGTGGGGTGGTTTTGGTTTCCCCCACCCCCAACCCCCACGATAATATTCAAACATTTCCAAGAATATAATCATCTATTTTATATACTATGAATTCTGTTATTTGTCACTTGGATTGGTATTTAATAAACAATTACTACATAGCCTCTCATTTAAATTATCACCGAAATCAGCAATAACTTTAGTAAGACTGTGTAGAATGCCATATGGGAGGGGAAATAACGAAATGAAAACTGTTCACGTAAATGGAGCAGGAGTGGTGGGAAAAGTATTTCTTGACATGTGGCCTGTCACTTGGGAAAGGAAAAGGCCCATCGGATCCAAAATGCCAGCTTGGATATTCCCTTGCCACCCACTTCGCAGACAGACACACCACATGGCATTAAATGCTGTAACCTTTCCTGAAAAATGCCATTTGGCTGGGTCTGCAGTGGCGAGTGTGTAAGAACTCTTGGTCTCTCTGGAGTTTGTGATTTCAAGGGGAGGAATCCAGTAAGTAACATGGTCTGAATTTTGCCCTCCGATGTTTGGCATACATGATTGGTGAGAATATTGGAAATTTTGGCTGTTTTCACGCTGATGAATAATTATGCAACTCGAAAACATTCTGCAGAACATAATGCTATAGTCACATCCACTATTTGCAAAAGTCTCAAAGAATATATGTAGGGTATTTATGAAAGCTTTCTTCCCTTGGCAAGTAGGAAAACAATCTTAACATTTTATTTATTCTTCACAAAGAGAATGAATATCCTATAAAACATTTTTTGCGCATGTTTCAAACTATTCCTTTTCTATAAATCTTGGTATAACAGTAAACACATATTCTTCCATCTTCTAAACTTTTTGTATTCATGCGTTCTAAAAATATAAAGAAATTGTATTATCGGTAAAAATATTGGATATATTTGTCATTATAGTGTAACAAATGCAAAATACTTGAAAAAATGTTATAAACAAAAAACTGTATATGTCAGTAATGAGACATATATTTCCTACTTGTTTTTCATAAGAGTTCTAACTGGTTATCTGTCAAGAGAAAAACAATGTAATTTTGAAAAATACTTCGTATCGTTCAGCTTTAAAAGATAACCATAACCCACAAAAATTACTCTGAATAGGTAGGACGTCTACTGCCTGTCGTTATGTGAAAAAGACTGCACCATCACGTGACAGATTGCCCCATGAAGCCCTCACAAGAGAAGCAAACTGATACCGCAAGCAGCCAGAACAACATAATTAAAATAGAATTCCAAGTTTATATTAATAGTCTCATAAGTTAATTAAATTCAAGATCAGCTGAACTTTCTATTTACACCAGCTTAGGCGGCCTAGGAGGGAAGGAACTCTATTTCAGAGACATATGTGGCTCGTTGCGCTTCTGCCATCCAGGTGCCGTTTCTGAGGGAGCACATGTGCACGGAACAGTTGGCAAAGGAGGAGAGAGATTGCTGTAGCTGTCTGTGCAGAGTCTCTCTCTAACGATACAAAATATGTTTGGAAAGAAAGCAAGATTTCTTTTTAAGGTGACAAATTCCCCATGACTTTTCGTTCCTTCTTCGGCGCTGGATGTGAAATAAGCATGTTTCTGTAAATAAGGATGTACACTTTGGCTTCTGATGTACGCATGGAACAAAAACAGGTTCCGTAATCTGCACGTGATGGAGTTATCTGAGTAGACGGGTGAGACATCTGAAGGATTTGGGATCTGTTTCCCATTTTATCTAAACGCACCATGAACAGGTTGCCTGTGCAAGTAGAAGGATTTGTGGAAGTATTCGGTAGCATACATTACACTGCATTGCTAGGTTAAGGTTCTATTCTTGATATACGACCAACTATTTAAAAAATCTCTCTCCAAAAGGAAAATACTAGCAGGAAGAACTCAAGATGTAAAAAAAGCATTGCTCCCGAAAGGTCCTTTTATAAAATGTTTTCTTATAACGCATTGATGGCTGCTCGGCTAATTTTCATCAGGCTCCAGATGAGGGTCCACATCTGTGGACAGTCTGAGATAAAAGAAAGCATAGAAAGCCAGGAGGAGGGCCAACAGAGCTGCGAGGACAAGGCCAACTTCCTGAGGAAGAAAAAGAAAGACTTGAAATTGATAAAATGTGATTGGTTGATGTTATCAGTTTCATCAGATAAAATAACCACACAGTTCCAGTCTCGAATGAACATTTTTGAAACTAATAATCACATTCATTTGAACACTTCTGCCGTTAAGAAGCGTATTTTGACAATATCCATTTCAATGGCAAGTACATCAGCGGGTGTGTCATTCTGTATTATTTTTATTTTTTGTTTCACTAATAGTAAAATTAACATTTATGCTTTTGAATATATTTTCATAGTTTGGATATCAAAATGTCGGGGACCAGAAGTGTTGTGTGTGCCTACAAAGTTTATCTGTTCTCTATTTGGTTATGTTTAATTTTATTTCTTGTTTCAATAAATGTATTAGTTATAACACTTATTCACAGATCTTAAAAACAAATAAACTGATCATTTCTTTTCCAATTTCTAATTTTCTAATACCACTGCAACAGTATCTAGATTATGCCTCTTTAAGATCTTTATTGAATACTAGAGGCCCGGAGCACGAATGATGGGGTCCCTCGGCCTGGCCTGTGCCCACTCGCAATCCGGGACCTCTCTGGTTTCAGCCAGATCCCTGCAGGCCTGGCCAAGGGAACCCAAGGGAATCCATGCCCGGGCCTCTAGTGTGCATATAATATCTTTGGTTAATCTCTTCCCGCTCTCCCCCTTCACCCTATCCTCTGAGATTGATCAGTCTGTTCCATGTTTCTATTCCTGTGCATTAAGCATCCGCCCCCGGTGGTCAGTACGTGTCTTAGCTACCAGTCAAATGGTCAAATGGTCTCTTAGGTTTATATACCGTATTTTCTGGCGTATAAGATGACCGGGTGTATAAGACAACCCTCCCCCCCTAATTTTACAGTTAAAACATAGGTTTAGGCCTATATTCGCTGAATAAGACTACCCCCCACTTCCGAGGCAACACCAGTTCTTTTTTTAATAGACCGCCTCCCTGACTCTGGCCAATCTGAGCAGGCTTTTTTTTCGTTTCAAAAATAGTCTTATACGCCAGAAAATACGGTGTGTGTGTGTGTGTGTGTGTGTGTGTGTGTGTGTGTGTGTGTGTGTGTAAAATAGAGGCCCGATGCATAAAATTAGTGCAAAGGGCTCGGCCCTCGCAGCTCTGACTGCCTCAGCTGTCTCAGTCCTCGAAGCCCCAGCTGCCTTGTGGCCACAGCCCAGCCCACTGCTTGTTCCGGAAGGTCATTTGGAAGGTTGTTCTGTCGTCCAGTCTAATTAGTATATTAGCTCTTTATTACCTAGGACTAGCGGCCCAGTGCATGAGATTCATGCACTTATTTGGGGGGTCCCTCAGCCTGGCCTGTGCCCTCTCACAGCCCAGGAGCCCTCGGGGGCAGTCGGACATCCTTAATGCTGCTGCGGAGTGGGAGAGTCTCCCGCCACCACCCCTGTGCTTGCCAGCCTTGAGCCCTGCTCAGGGCTTCTGGCTGAGTGGTGCTCCTCCTGTGGAAGTGCACTGACCACCAGGGGGCAGCTCCTGCATTGAGCGTCTGCTTCATGGTGGTCAGTGTGTGTCATAGTGACCGGTTGTTCCACCATTCGGTTGATTTGCATGTTAGCCTTTTATTATATAGGATACATGATTTTGTTGAACCTCTAATTTTAATACTCTAAATTCTATAGCTTATATAATGTGGCAGGACAAAACTGAACACGCAGCTCATGAAGCATGATACAGTATAATTTATCACAACTGTGAAGAATGGCCCTGGATTTTTCCTTGGTGATTGAATGTGGGTCATACTAATCAATTATGTTGAAATAGTAGTAAAAACAACAACAACAACAAAAAAAAAAACTATTACATATAAATGGCAATATTCATACTATGTCTCAAAAAGTCTATAAAAATTTAAAATATATACACACCATCAAGGAATCCCCTCAATATTAACAGATCACGTGGCTAAATACAAAAAAAGAGCAAATAGTGCCAGCTCAGTACCCTAACGGACCTGCCATTGCCTTCTAATTTTCACTCATTTCTCACACCCCTTCCTGGCATTATGTTACGAAGCAGTAATTTATTTGCACTCACATGAGTGCACTTTACATTTCATTAGAACGCAAAAGCAATAATTCAGCATATGCCAACTAATAAATGATAAAAACACTAAAATGAGTAGGTTGCTGGTGAAAAGGGGTCATGAGAAAAGCATTTCGGGAACGACACATCGGCAGGTGGATAAGGTGCAATGTCAAGATTTACTGAAGCAAAAACAAACGGTGCCCCGGTGTCGGTGTTTCACCCTCTGCTCTGTTCTGTGCAAGTCCGGCCTCTGGGGTCTCAGACCTGCACCTGTGCTCCCCAAGCCCAGGGGGCCGGGCTCAGTAATGCCGAATTCTCTAGGTCTCATTTCTCCATCTGCTCACCCCTCCAGTGCTGCGCCCGGGCCTCAGCGTGGGCCACGTGAGCACGAGAGAGAGCAGCACATGGACAAGGGAAGGCACTGTGCTACTCCCAACGGCCTGTTACACTGCTTTTGGGAGAGAACAGGCTTTCTTTCAAACTCACCAATCTCCTTCCTAATCCTTCCCGGGTTTATGCTGGGTCCTCCCCTAACCAATCCTTCTATGGATCTTCTGGGTTTCCTGCCCCTTATCCAATCAGATCCTCTTCTGAGGTTTCCCAGGTTACACTCTGCCCTTTATGTGGCTATTCCGGCTACTACGGTGCATGCCTCAGAGCTTTGCCTCCTCAGCTGGTTCCCGCTGCACGCGTGCTTTCCTCCCCTGTGCCATCTTGGTTTCTACTGCCCATGTGCCCAGCAAAGAATTTCCCAGGAGGGAACTGGTCGTCCCCCAGGGAGACTGGAAAGCCAGTCCCTCCCCACCTACCCATTGGGGTATGGGCGGATGTGCGGGAAGAGTATAGGGGAGGGAAGGTGCTAATCCTCTTGGCAGAGGTTCAGCAATCCCTGGGGTATCTGAAGCTGTAACTTCCAGACTTAATCAGGCTTAAGCATGGCCAGTTTTGTGCCCTTTTCTTTCACTCATATCTAACTAGCTGCCTATGCTCACAAACATGGTTTATCATCAACATGTAATGTTTACCTGGTTGTCGAAATTATAAATCGACACCTTATACAGACTGTTAACGTCATAATTACATTTACTTAGATTTCCAAACTATAAGAATAAATAGTAATAAAAGCCATGGGGTTGGAAGGTTCAGTGTTAACTATTTTTCTAAGATTTGATTTCTTTGCTCTGATATAGAATGTCAAATGAAAGTGAATTTTTCTTTGCTACAGTTTGGAACATTTTGGCATCTCCAAAGGGCATGGTAGCATCAGACAGGTTTCATTTATTTTCTTACAGCCACAGCTGTGCTCCCAGACCCATCTGGTTACTCAGCGACCAATTCCAAAAGGGTGTATAAACAAGTGGCACCCAGCTGCAAAGCCTATCTGTCCCCTAGAGTGGACAACAAAAATACCCAACAGCAATGCTGACCACTCACACAGATTTAACGCAAGAATAACTTTTGTGCTCTTGATTGGGGGCCATGATTCTCATCTCATTGATTACTGCCTCTAATTGGTGTTTTTTTTAAATCTCATCTTTCCAAATAATTCTATATCAACTTACTGTACATTTTCAGAATATCCAGAGGCATGAAAAAAGGTCTTAAGGGAAGGAAGCAGAGAACATTCACAGGATACAAGATCACAGGACCTGTTAATTCAATTAAGTCTATTCAATATATGGTGTGGGAGGTGGGGGGTTAAAAAGTATTGGATGGGGAGTTATAGCAAATAATCTTTTTCATAATGTCCTACTCTTTTAAGAAGATATGCAATATAGGAACTGCATGTTTAGAGGGTTAAAACACAGTAAAGTTAGAAAATACTTCTTTCAGGAGGCTGGTGACACAGCTATAACTTAGAAACTTGTAGGCATTTATGGCTCCACCCCCCTGGCCATTTTTAGTTTTAAATCAACAATACCAAAAAGAAAAAATAATAATAAAATGTTTCCAGCTGGCTCATCTGAAGGGGTTGTTAGAAGGATCTGGTTGACACTTGAATATTTTTGTTTATATAAAAGAGAAGTTTTTGATACTAAATTTTTTTATTCTTTAATTATGATTACTAGTAGCCCAGTGCATGAATTTGTATACACTGAAAGAAATTTAATTAGAAGAAATATTTTAATATCACCTTTTGCCCATTATAATAGAAGTGTCAACTAAATTCACCATTGACAATGGCAGATGGAAATACACGCATGCAATTGGTGCCAGCGAGAGCTTTATATGTATTGTGCATGCGTGAGTCAATGCAGCCTATTAATAAACTAATTAACTATTTATTTGATAAATTCAGCTTATCTTTTTCCTTCTAAATACTAGGAAACATAAGTATTTATATTCTATAAATATTTTTGGTGATTTTGTAATTTTTGAAATATAATCTTTTAATTGGACAGCAGCCATGTAGCACATATATATTATGATGCAGATATATTTTAGATGGTACTCATTGCATTAGTGGGTCATATACTAGGACATTTTGTTTACATTGATAAGACATAAAGATAGCTTCTCAATAGAAATTAATCCTAAATTCTGACTTCCATATCACATCTTATTCTAAATCATGACTGTTTCCTCAAAACGTTCTCTATTTCTAAACATACACTTACAGAAAGCGCTAGAGCCTCTGAAGTTAAGAACCCTATTGTAAAATTCTTTATATTTCCAGTTCATGATTTCTCAATAAATACTGATGACTTTACATGGTACTAAAATCTGGAAATGATTTTTTTGTATACATTCCTGTAAGATAATCACGTTCTAATAATCTTTTCACAGGTTCTACATCATGGTACTTATAGTAATTTTTAAGTTAATAACAAAGAATTAAGATTTATACAATTTATATGTAAAGTATATTAACATTACGCAATGCTTCGGAAACTTTACAACAGTAATAATACTATCACATAACTATTGCCACAGCAAAACTGAGAACATTTTGTCATCTATTATGTAGTCACACAATGCAGACTTAGTTGAAATAGATCATCGGGCCAATGACAAACATCCAAGGGAAGTCTTATTTATACAAACCAGTAATAACTAACACAAACACTTTTTCAATCTGCTAACGATTCACAAATGACTTGGATGGGCTAGGTTCAATGTTAAGTATTTGCCTTTTGACATTAACCTCTCCTAACAACACCGTGAAGTAAATGACATAATCTGCACTTAACAATGTGCCGGCTTGAATTCAGCTGGACCATGGGAAGAGCAAGAGGCAAAAGGGATCTATCTGGTCCTGGCCTCTTAATTTTGTGTTCACAGTTGTCATTTCTGTGATTTTTCTATTCCATGCAGCTATTCATAGTTTCTGTAGATTTAAATTATCTTAAGACCATAACGATAATTCATTTTAAGGAATACTGTAAGATTATGGCCATCCTGTATCAACCAGATAAGAGTCAAACATGTTTGACGTTCATTAGTCCCTAGTTGCTTCTCTGACATTATCAATATGGATAAAATGACTCACTGGGGAAATTAATAGCATTAAATAGTAATGGCTAAAAGAAACTTTGCTATTTAAAATCCTATGCTAAAATGACAATGTAATCAAACTTTGACAGGGCAAACTAATTGGTATGCCATATTTGAAATGTAAAACACCTCCAAGGTTTTGATTCTAGAAAGTTTCATATTATTTAATGAGCTCTTTACATAAATTTGCAAGCAAAGTAAACAATGTTTAAAGTGAAGGCTTTTCTCCCATACGCTCATAAACCAATATGACATGCTGGCTTATTTTTAAAAAGTTATGTTCTGATGTCAGAAACTCTTATGCACATACTTCAAATTGTAAATGAAATCCAAGGAAAATTTTTCTCATAAATAGATAAACAAATTCCACATTGCTTTTTAAAAAGACAAGTAATTGCACTATAAGGTAGACTCATCTCACACTGGGAACATAGTTATTTCCTTAAGCTAAAACAACAACAAAAGTTATAAGAACAGCCCAGCCTGGCGGCTCAGTTGGTTGGAACATCTTCCCATACAATAAAAGATTGGGGTTTCATTCCCAGTCAGGGCACATACCTAGGTTTCAGGTTTGATCCCCATTGGGGTGCATACAGGAGGCAACAGATCAATGTCTCTTCTCTCTCTCTCTCTCTCTCTCTCTCTCTCTCTCTCTCTCTCTCTCTCTCTCTCTGTCTCTGTCTTCCCCTCTCTCTAAAATCAGTAAACATATACTTGGGTGAGGACTAAAAAAAATTATAAGAGCAAGTACAAAGAAGGCTGTGTTTGAGAAAGTGGCATATATTTGTAGATAAATTTCTCAAATTTTACGTTACAGTTGTTCATTGTATTATGCCACATGTGGAGTGAGCTGCCCCAATATTTTCTAAAAATAAAAATGACTTTTGTAATGTACTCATTACAAAAGACAACCATCAGGTAACTAACTGTAAAAGAAAAACTAAGCACTACTTTTAGAAAGGTTATGTTATGGAAATAATTTTAAAAATTAAAGAAATTTCTAATCAAATTAGAAGAAAACTTCAAAAGATGAATCATCTCTCTTTTACACAAAAAGGCAATCCACTCTTTTATTTTCATTAAAAACGGACACAGCACTAACTGAGGAGACTGTATTATAAAAACATATCGCATCACACGGCAATGCTTGATCAAAATCAGCAATCAGGAGTAAAAAGCAGCAGTGTTTCATCATCATAGCAAATTCTGGAAGACAACCAAATATATCATCTGGCAGTTCAACAGCTGTTTCAGCTTGGTAGTAATACCTTGGCATTTGCTATAAGCTATAACTTTGAAAAATTGATTTTTCATCTGCCAGATAAAACCCAAAATCTCCTTTTAACATTTTAACATTTAAATAAAATATATGTACGAGTGATTCTAATTTGACACACTCGACAGTAAAGCCACCAAATTAATTTTTCTATTAATAGTTTAATTTGAGTATAAATACTTGGCAAAGAATTGACATGGGTAATAATGGAAATGTAATTTTGCTGAATTTCATTGTGCTAGCACAATGGATTAATATCTCCTAATATCATTCCCTGTCGCTTTTTTTGAGAGATCAAGTTTGGGAACATGATTAGAATTCCATCATAGAGAGTACTGACAACAATAACAATTCAAAGAGTAAATTTATATATATTAACGATCTAAGAATATAGAATTAAAACTGAAATTTAAACAACTGTCAAATGAAATTTACTGAAAATGAGAATTTTTTATTTAGGCCACAAATCACTGAAATGTGTAGTTAGTAGTTGGAAAATAAATTGCAACTTTAAGTATAACTGGTTCTTGCAAGTGACACAGTGTTTTATTTTAAGACTGGTAAAATCTCAGGATAAGAAGGATGTTTCCCATTAAGTAAATTCTTTATAAAAACCTTCGATTCTGGCATTCAACTTCGATTCTGAAATGTCATAAAACATTTAGAGCTCAACATTTATGCAATCCAGTGTTAGAAAATAAAGTGGCATGAATATATCACATTTTAAAGTAATCAAATATAGGTACCTTAATGCCTAGTGCTGTTTTCTTTGCTTCTGCTTTTAATTTGGTTGCTCGTAAAATAGGTTTGGTTTTTTTATAATCCTGTTTACCTAAAAAGAAATAATTGAGACAATGAGTTATGCTTATATATACTTCAAGTTTAACAGCCATCTGAAATGTCAAAGAATGTTTAAATAGAGTAAAATTGGGACACAGTTGCAAAGTAGTTCATAGTTATGGAAACCATAAACTTGTCTCCCTAAGATCAACTTTTCCTCCTCCTCTACTTTTTCAGGAAGAAGATTTGACAGGCATCTTTGATCTGCTGAGCAGTGATTACAAAAAAAGACAAAAACTTCTTTTAGAGAATAAGATGTTTAAAGCACAGAGAGTAAACCTGGTGGAAACATTTGGAAACAAATGTGTAAATAAATGAGTATACATAAGGTCCCATTAAGAGGTAAAGCTAACTTTGACTTCATAACTGAAGAATAACATTCACTAAAAATTTACTATTTATATTATATATTTGATATTCTTAATTATCTTATTATGGATGTTTTAAGTATTGAAGTAATTAACTTGAGAAATATTGTCAAGGTTTTCTAAGTAAGAAACTCAAAAAGATAAATAACTTTTAGTCACTGGATCTTTTAGAGAATAGAACATAGGAATTTAACTTTTGGTTCTTTTAATAGAAGATAGAATAAATATGGCCAGATAAAGATATGAGATAGCTACATTTAGATATTAGTTTCAATTTTCTCTGCCACACATTTCACAGCCAAAAATGAAACCTTAGTGCCACCAAATATCTTTTTTTTTGTACCATCTCATGAGCCCACTGAATAATAAAAGCTATCAGTCTGTAAAGAAAATAGATTTAACAACAGCAACAACAACAAAAGCACTGACTAGAATAATATGTATTTTTGTTAACCACACTCTTAACTGGGTCAAATGAGTCTCAAACATCATAGTATGTTATTCTGAGTGGGACTTAACATTTGACCATATAATCCCTTCAGCTCTTTTATATTGTTATTCGGCCTTATTGTTTCCATCTTAGTACGCTCTTCCCTTTCTGTGATCAGTTCTTTCCAAAAATCACCTCTTTTTTCCCTTTAATTTCCACATCTTCCGGAAACACACTAAAATAAATTTGAAAGCAGTTGATCTAAACTAAAATATACCATGAACATGCAATGCATGATATATTTCTTAAAGTATCTGTGTGGGAGAGTAGAGAGGATGAGCAAAAAAAAAAAAAAAAAAAAGAAAGAAAGAAAAAACTCAACGATACTAGTATGGACAACAGCATGGTGACTGCAGGGGAAAGGGGTGAGAGGGGGGGATGGAGGAGGGCGCAGGGGAGAGAGTGGTGATGGATGGAGACTTGACTTGGGGTGATGAACACACAACACAGTGTAGAGATGATGTGGAACTGTGCACCTGAAACCGGCATGACTTTGCTAGCTAGTGTCCTTCCCAATAAATTCAATAAAAAGGAAAAAAATAAACATGTAACTAAATAACATTTTAAAAAATTAGCAATGGCAGAGAGGAGTCAAACGGATGGGAGCACTGAAGAAATGCTCTAGTTGTGTCCATTAGACACATTAACGTGTTTGTTTGGCTGGCGGCCTGTTTTTCAAAAAGAATAATATTCACTCTGATTTCACATCTCGATGGTCAAACTGTTCAGCCATCATTCCTGCTGAGATATGAAGCTTTCCAGAACAATGACAATGGTGACACATCAACTGTCTCTGACACTCATGGTTACAAAGCAAGTTTCTAATGAGAATCTTCAAGTAAGTTTAACAGATTATAGATTTGAGGTTAAGCAGGCATTCTGTTCTATCTCATATTGCCCTATAATAATCTCTAGGTGCAAGGGGGGAAAATAAGCAAATGAAAAAAGACTATCTTATATTAACCAGCACACTTTCCATACACATATGCAATATTCTGGATGGTGTGTCTGCCATAAAGCACATTCAAATATACCTCAAAGAGTAAATGTTAAAGTGAGAACTTATCACTCTACTCCACATCCCATATAACCATTGGTTAAATGTGTTCTATTCTGACTCAAATGCTATAATCTCAAGGAATAATATTGTAGATGTATGTTACATTTAACATGAACATTTGAGACTGTATTATAAGTAGATGATTTTTAAAATGATTGTACATCTGGCACTGCTCCACATAGTGAATCTGTCATGAATTCAGTATTCTCCTTGCTGACTACGAAATCCAAAAGTATATACTGCAACACATGGTTTCAGTCTGCTCAGTGAAAACATTTACAGCAGCCATCTATTAAGTTATTTATAACTAAAACCAGATCTTTCCATTATATCCAAAGAGGTTTTCAACATGTTATTTTTGTTATGGCTTCAAGAAGGAAACCACCTGGCCCCTATGGCTCTGTTGGTTGGAGCGTTGTCCTGTGCACAGAAAGGTCATGGGTTCAATGCCTGGTTTGGGCACATATGGGAGGCAACTGATCAATGTTCCAATGTTTCTCTCTCACACTGATGTCTGTCTGTCTCTTTCTCCCTTCCTCTCTTCTTACCTCCATTCCTTTCTCTTCTCCTCCTTCCTCCTTCCTCTTTTTCTAAAATCAATAAAAATATATATCCTCATGAGTATTAAAAAAATAAAGGATGTGATATGTTCACGAATGTAAAATATATATCATACAGAAGGCCCCACCTTCTTCTAAGTACATTTAGAAAATATGCACTTACACAATCTAGAGTTTAGCTATAGATGGTTTCTTGATTACATTGTGTCTGATTTTGGTTATATTAATAATGCAACAACCAAACTAGCTATTGAGCAATTGTTCATTACATTTTATCTGAGGGAAAACCTACATTTAATTACTTTTTATTAATCTAATTTGTTGGTGTTAGTGTTTGTTTATTTATTTAATTACTTTTATGGTCTGATTCTATAACGTTTATATTCTTTGTCATATACAGGCTCGTAGTTTAATTTTCATCTGATGGACCGATAGTTTTCAAAAATGCCTTGAATAGTAAGTCTTCTGGCTTCACTGAGGGGCTGTGTGTGTGGTGGGGCGTGGGGGATGGATATACATTTCCTGGATCTGATGGGAGTTTATAGCTCTGCCTTAGCCTTCACTTCCCGCTTGCTTCCTCAAGATCATCAAGAGAGGAGATTATAGCCCTTTATCTTTCTTGGACAAGGTATAGCTGTGCATAGCCTTCTGGCTTTCTATGATTGCCAGGAATGTCTGTCAAAGATTTTTAAAGACTCTATGGACATCTTATCACCCAGTTTTTGTTTGTTTGTTTTAGTTTTTTTAGGTCAGTCACAGACTAGCCCCAACTAGTAATACTGTCTCGGGTACTGTGTTTCCCCGAAAATAAGAGCTAGCACCTGGAAAGATAAGACATCCCCTGAAAATAAGGCCTAGCACAACTTTGGGAGAAAAAAATTAATATGAGACACTGTCTTATTTTCGGGGAAGCAGGGTAGTTGTAATGTTAAATACCCACACTCATTGTTTTGCTCAAATGACATGGGAAAAGGGATTTTCACAAAGACTGAGCTCTAAATCAGCTCAAATAAAGACATTCTGAGAATGGGCTTCTCAGGGGCTGCCAGGCAGGTCCGACAGTGCCAGTCCTCGGAGGATTTCTGCCTTCTCCAGCGCCTGCAGGATGTGGTTTTCACAACCACTACAGTTGCAAGAGGAAGGAGAGGAAAATGGAATTACAACAACTTAAACGAAACAAAGCACAGTATTCTTACTGAAATTCAGCTGTTTTTCTTGAATAAACATTCTATGGATTGTTATAAGACTTTTGTTAATTTCCAAATATCTGAAAAAGTTGTTTTTAAGAATTAGCTGCCACTGTTTGTTTTGCTTTTATAAAGCACAGCGTTCAGAAATAAAGATTTGGATTACTCACTAAAGACAAAAGGCTCATCAAACCAAGATCCTTAATAGAGATAAGATCTGGAATGAGTATTGGAGGAGACAGGTATAAATTACAACCACGATGACCAACCAGAAAACTGATGATAACCGGAACCTATATTTATTTGCTTGCTCCTAGAGTGTAATGCCAGTTTCCCCACACAGCCCATTACTTTGTAAAATCAGCATTATCAAATTTTAAAAAATATTTCTTCTTCTTCCTTTAGGCTGGATCATTGGAAAAAAAGAAAGGAAGGAAAGAAGGAAGGGAGGGAAGGAGAAAAGGAAGGAAAGTAAAGAGGGAGGAAGGAAGAGTATCACTAAGTATTATTCAAGATCCTGACCTTACAGAACAGCAGTCTCAGGATTGGTTGGGAAATACTGGGTAATTGTTGAGGTTCTTCTTAGATCCTCTTCGGGTTTATCCTATATATGAAAATGTTAATATGCAAATCGACCAAACAGGGGAACAACCAGTCACTATGACATGCACTGACAACCAGGGGGCAAACACTCAACGCAGGAGCTGCCCCCTGGTGCTCAGCCAGAAGCCAGTCTGACAGCAAGTGAGTGCAGTGGTGGCGGCAGAGCAGCGCTAAGGATGTCCCACTGCAGGCTTAGGCCTGCTCCCCCTAAGCCATCAGTCAACATCCCCCAAAAGCTTCTGGACTGCAAAAAGGCACAGGCCAGGCTCAGGACACCCCCTTCCCCACCTGAGTGCACAAATGTCGTGCACCAGACCTCTAGTTTTCATGATAAAAGAAAGACAAAAATCCAAATTGAGATAACATGAAAATGAGGGAGAGGAAGGGGAAAGAGAGAGAGATGTAGATTAACTGATTACTGACTGATTCCAGGAGTTAAACATAGGAGTTTAGTTGCCATTGACATGAATTCAAGTCTTGACTGACTATGCAGAATTTTCTCTTTCCACCACCAGCTTCTATTTTTTGCTTCACTCTGGAATCATGGCTATATCCAGCTCTGGCTCGCACCCCTTTCAAACTAAGACCAAAGTGTAATGTATACTTTTCCTTGGAATCATTTTAATTATTCTTATACCCAAAACGATTATCAAATTTCTTCCAATTACGGAAGACTAAGATAATGTGTCTAGTTCCCACTGCAACCAACTTTAACAAATCAAAGTAGTCTGTCTCTAATTGTTCCTGTTAAACATAGATTGAAAAGATATACTTGAAAACTCATTGTACATAATCAACAGAATTTTCAGCTTCAAGTCCTAAACAGGGAGTATGAGAATCAACTAAAAGCAAAATCATAACTAAAAAGAAAACACTGATGCATAAGAATTTTCAAATTATGCCTGGATTTTTTTATAGAATTTTCAAATTATGCCTGGATACTACCCATGTTCATATTTTTTATTTATATATACTTTGCAGACATTCATGAAGTATCTGCTTTTCAAACAATATTTTAACATGCCATTTTCAGTAATACTTTCTAATAAGTAGGTATTATCTGTGTTAAAAGTCCTTTCTGATTCAGTATAATATATTTAACTTTAGCATAGGCACTGTTTCTATAAAGAATCACAAGTAGCTATAAAAACATACAGTTAATAAAGATCATAAATAAGTTTCTACCTTAATATTATCATTTACTATCCGTATGTTACACTTAGAAAAGGACAGAATAATTTATATGGTCCATTTGATGCAAAGTAAAAACCTATGCTTACGTCATTATTTGATATTTAATGCAATACTCACTTACACCTATGCCACTGCTTAATTGCTTTCTGTATTTGCTTCTCGGTTCCTTAGCTTTGCCCACATATAAGACTGCCTCTTTGCCCTTAGTTGGTATTGCTACCTAAGTTCATTATCATGTGAGTATCTGGTTATTGTTCTATAAACGTTCATCTTTCAGAAGGCCAGTTTTTTTTCCTTCTCGTCAGTGGACTTTATGCTAACCGCACTCATTATCATCCTGTGGCAGGAGTGCTCTTCCTCTGCCTTAGCTGCTTTAAAAATTAATGCACAGTTATTTTCTGAATACTACATAAGCTGCTTATGAGTACATTATGCTATCAAGCAAGCAAATGCAGAAAAGCTTCCTAAACTGTTATTCTTTCAATGAAAATACAGCTGGTTCTGCTTCACAGGCACATCTTTTCACCTGCAAATGGACTTGCTCCTACACTTATTCCTCAATTCATTGTCTTTTATTTGTGTCTGGAAATCTTTAATTGCCTTTAATGAGAAAAAAGTAAACTCAATGCCTTCATCTTGCAAATACATTCAATCATAATTCTGCTTGGGATGAATACCAAGTTCTATTCACTGCCTGATCCCTACAACAAAGATATATAATTTATTGTCCATTTATATAGACCACACCAATTAAGATACAATAGAAAAGCAGAGATGAGTCAAAATATTTGAAAAAAATGCAGTCTAAATTCAATTGCTCAAAGAAATTACTGGAAGATGAGTTATTTACAGGATGCCATAAATATTGAGAAAAAAATAAAATTTGGTAATCAACAGTAAAAACTTTTCTATTTCCTTCAACATTTTTAGAATAGTTTCCCATCAACTTCTCCAAATCTCTACCCCTTCCTGAAAAAGCAAAACACTATTTGGCATCTAATTTTTTCATGTTACCAAAATTACTTATGAAAGGGCAGTACAATTTGGCCTATAAAGTAATTTCTCAACTGTCACATGAACACAATTTTAGTTACTAGTACATTAAAAACTACAAATAGCCCAGCCGTTGTGGCTCAGTGGTTGAGTATCAACCTATGAACCAGAATGTTAGGGTTCAATCCGGTCAGGGCACATGGCCGGGTTGTGGGCTCGATCCCCAGTAGGGGGCGTGCAGGAGGCAGCCTACCAATGATTCTCATCATTGATGTTTCTATCTCTCTCTACCTTTCCCTTCCTCTCTGAAATCAATAAAACTATATTAAAATAAATAAGCATTAAAAATAACTGTAGAAAACTCATTACAAAAGCAAGGGTCAATAGTCTTTCTTACGGAGTCCTATAGCAAACTCGGTAGCTATGTCAATAAACAAAGGGTCTGCTTTTTGATAGCTACAAGATGAGTAAAATCATAAATGGCATGGTCACAGGCAAAAAATAATGAAAATGTTAGTCAAGTTGATAAAAATAATAAAACCAGAAACACAATAAAAAATTCATAGTATATTTTTATTGTCAGCAAGACATACAAAATGATGCCACATAGTCACTTAAAATAAAGGGGGGGAGGGTGTTACCTATAGAAGTAAAACCTGCAAAAATTATTTTTCTCAAAATTATTTAGAAATACCTGGGCAGATGAGAGGAAGCTGGTAAATTAACATTTATAAATAAAAATCTCATGCAGACTTTTTAATATTATATTATAGAGGCAACTCAAATTAGTAATTTTTCAATGCTTGGTCAGAACAGCGTAACATTAGTCATGCATTGCAAAGGACACACCCTCACTTAATACCACCTTAAGTACGAAGAAACAAGCGCCATGCTTTAGTTTGCTACTAAGGTAAAGCAACAAGTTGCTCATGAGATATAAATTACTTTCCAAAATAACCACATTAAAAATGCTAACCAAGCAACAACCTATTATGTACACAGGGAAATGTAACTAAGTGGAAGATGGTATAAAATATATCAACGTTTACTTGGCACTTAGCCAAAACATGTTCACACTGCAACCTCTCCTTTATCCTTCAGTTATTTAGAAGGTTTTTTATTAACTTTTTTTTAATTAAAAAAAAAAAAGCGGAATAGAAAGAAATGTGAAAGAGAGTGGGGATTAGGTAAGAAATTACCTTTTTTTTGCTTCTGACTACTGGTTTATCACAATTTATTCAGAGTTGTGGTTGTAGTATATTGATTCTTTAAAATTGGGGGTCTTGGTTTGTAACTATTATAGTATGTCATTTGTTATAAATACTCCACACAGTCTTGAAAAGAATGGGTAGAAAATCCTACATAGAGTATAGTCTAAAACAGATAAGCTTCTTATCTTCCTATGCTGATGAATGGCAGTCCACCATTTTACTAAGGTAAAGGTTTAATGGAGAATTTGGAGGTTATCAAATTATTACCATTAATAAACAAGAGAATTACAAGTTGTTAAATGGATAAAAACAATTTAATAGATGATAATATTAAAAACACTGCCTATATAAAAGCTTCTAGCTTTAAGAATAAACATATTTTTTGCTTTTATTAAATTAATAAAAACTATAAAAGCTTTGAAAAAATTATAGTTACACAAAATGTATTTCTCCATTGGTAGGCAGGACTGCACATTTTTGCTCCTTAAAAACTCTCTATGGTCTTTTATTAACCATATTCTGTATGTTATATGTATTAGGGGAAAGTAATTTTCTTAATACAACATATAATTGCTTTTTTTCTTTATCTTAATTTGCAGAAATAAATCAAAGAGAAATTTACTGCTTACCAATTTGCTTTCTGTATTGATCAACAGGAAGCTTTATAGTGGAGGCATCTTTTCTACCCATCTTTGATCTCCAAAATGCCTTCTGCAAAGAAAAAAATAAATTATAATGAAATCCTAAAAAATCAAAAGCACTGGAATAATTTATTCCATAAAATTCATTTTTAAAGCAATGGGTAAAAGTGCCTTTGACTTATTCCCATTAGATACTAATAAGGAACCCCAAATTATTTCAAATACATTATCAAGGATACAAATGCTGATAATTAAATTTCCCAATCATTTGTTCTTAGAACACTCATTTTATCAAGAACTATCAATGCTCAATTAAACCACACAGAGAGGGCACTGTCTGTAAATTAGGTGAAAATAAAGTAGTACTGTATTTATTCACATGCTTTGCAGCTGTAGGCATGCGCTGAACAGTGTGATTCTTTCCAATTACTACACACCAAGGCTAACGTTTGAATCTTAAATTTCTTAAATTTTGTTTTATAAAACATGACATAGGTAACAAAAGTACATGAATTTGAACGCTAGTTCTGCCTCTCTTCAGTAAACAGTTTAAACTACAACCGTTTACTAACATTCTTATCCTTACTACATTATAAGCCCTGTTTGATTCAATCTACCACATATCTTTCAAATCCTATTATTTTTATTGAGTTTAAATATTGTGGCAGAGACAAGCTACTCTCCAAAATCCACATTCTCCTTTTCTTCCTGGCACAGAGCTAACTGTATTCCTCACCTCAGTTCAAACATGTGACTGAGTTGTTGTTAACGAGTGTGAATGGAAGTCATGTGTCACTTGCAGACCTGAGTACTAAAGATCTCCCTCATAGAGTCCTGAGTTTTCCTTCCCCGTCTAATTAGCTAGAACGGAAATGATCCCCAGACAAATCCTAAGGGCACATTTACAGGAGCACAGAACCTGGGTCAGCCTGGGCTGGAGGGCAGTTCTAACTTGCTCACCATCACAGTGCTCTACTGGAAACGGAATGAACTTCTATTCTGGTTGAGCACATGACATACATTGGTGGCGTCTTATTACAGACCTAACAGTTCCCGAGTGGCCTGTAGGCTGTTCTTCTGCTTCTAGTAAGGATGCTGCTAGATAAAGAGGAGGTCTGACAACAAATGACCTGTATTTAAGCAAGGGAATCCAGAACCAAATAATTTGGAGAATAACGAGACTGGGAAAGCCAACTTCTAACAGCCAAATACTAGGAAATAAAAGTGAAAAAGCTATTGAAGAACAAAGGCCTATTAAGACTTCTTAGTTAAAAAAGAAAGAGACAGAGAGACAAAGAGTGGGTTAAGGATATTCCTGTCTCACCTTATCCTATCCTTTCAGATCACCTGGAAGCAGCCGCTGAAGTGCAGAAGGGAGGAAGACAAAAGAACCATGTCTAGGACAGAAGTTGCAGTGTGACTACTGATACATGGAACTAAGCAGAAAGGCCAAGAAGGTTTTTAAAATCTGAGGAAACTGTATTTACAAGGAAACCAGAAATTCTGTCAAAAATAAGCTGTGAGTGAAAAACCAATCCTCGTGCCTCTAAACTTAGAGCAGCAAAGCGCAGCGCTCAAACCAGGCAGACATTGCACACCTGGAGCATCCCCTTCACACCAGACCAGGAAGGAGAACCGTCCAGAAGGCAGGGCCATGGAGAACAACAGACAAGAAAATTTTCCTTAAAAAAAAACAAACCAGAATTAGGGTCTAAGTGTAAACACCAGCTCAAAATGGTCCTATCTTACCTAACAAGACACTGAGTAGCTTTTCAGACAACAGACCCAAACCACAGGTCATGCGGCTGACGCTGCACGTGGAACCAAGTCTCCCCCAATCTCCTCCCCACCCCCAACACCGAACCCTTTCAGAGCAAAGGGCCCCTTTTCCAGGAAGACGGGTGCTGATGCGCCTTTACCATAAATGGCTCAGCTCCAAGGTCCTCCCCATTACAGCCTGTCCCACCAGCCCTGTCCAGCTGACTCGTTGGAGCGTCGTCCCATATACCAAAAGGTTGTGGGTTCGATTCCCAGTCTGGGCACAAGCCTAGACTGCAGATTCAATCCTAGGTCAGGGCACATACAGCAAGCAACCAGTGGATGTTTCTCTCTCACATCAATTCTCTCCCCCCCCCCCCTCCACTCCTTTCTATAAAATCAATAAAAGCATATCTTTGGGTGAGGATAAAAACAAAACAAAAACCTACTCCTACCCCACCAGCATTTCCACACACCTGCTCCCCTTAGCCCCCTAGAAACTCCCTTGAATGCCTGACTGGGAAGCTCAGGCTTTTGAACCACAGCTTTCCCGTTCTCCTTGCTTAGAGCTCTGCAGATAAAGTGACTAATTTCTCCACTGAAATTCGCCATGTTTAGTGTTTGGCTCTTGCAGTGCTGAGTAGACAAACTCTCTGTTCCGTAACACAAGCAAATAACTTCTACTGTCAGTATAATGGGCCTTCTTAATGGTCTCCTGTGCAGCAGGTCTCAGCATCAGGATGGATCAAGGACTCCTGTGCGTTTCCATTCTTCTCTTTCAAAACAGCAGTAATTATTGGAGGGAAGATGCAGTTATCCTCTGCTTTACCGTTATTTATTAGGGACTAGTGGCCTGGTGCATGGATTCATGCACATTGCCAGGAAATTAATTAGAAAAAATATTTTAATACTGCTACTCGCCCTTCCTTTATAATAGAAGTTTCAACCAAATTCACCACCGACAATGACAGATCAAAACACTGGCACCAGTGAGAACTTTATATGTGTCACGCATGCACGAGTCTGTGTGTGTGTGTGTGTGTGTGTGTGTGTGTGTGTGTGTGTGTATATATATATATATATATATATATAAAATAAACTTGCTTAATTAGACCTGCTTTCTGATGTAGCTAAACTTATTCCAGCCCAGTGAAGCACCCCAACTTCTCTTTCAGGTAATTGTCAGCAACACAGCAGTAAATATTAACACAAAGCATATTATTATTGTAGATCACGCAGGGAGAACAAAGGGTAAAATATTTAACTGCAGCAGTGTTTGACTATATTCTGGGCAGTGAGAAAACCTGAAGTCATTTTCAAGGTCCACCATTTCTTAATTCTTCTCAGTCAGGTCAAGTTTCTAAGCTTTTTAAATCTCCGTTTTCCAGCTAATGAAAAGAAAATAGGATTCCACTGAGTCTCCTATCTACCTACTCCAGGGCTTCTGTGAGGATCAAATGAGATGAGGTACGGAAAATGCTTCACGGACATTTGGTTCAAGTGTGAAATGTTTGCACTTGGCTGTGAAGAAACTGCCAGGAAGATAGTTGTTGCGAGGGAGAGCAAGGCGGGCATTGCTATGTGATGTCATTACCGGGATGGAGGGAAGGACACTTAGCATATTAGCCTTTTATATATATAGATTGGTGAGACTGGAAAAGAGTAGGCAAATTTCATAGTCTGTAAACCTCAATGAACCGCATTCCATTTTGAGAGGGGAGACTGCATCGGCTTTAGATCCTTGACTTTATCCTGGATGCAACAGATGGGAACTTTAGGATTTCCCTCTGGGAAGGCAGGAAGGAGGATGTGCTATTTCATGACAAGAAAGACAGACTACAGGGAAAACTGTTGGCTTCTCAATGAAGTGCAATTTAGTTTTGCTTTTCACCTTTATAGAATAACTTAAATTTTTAATAAGTATTAAGGTTCTCTCTTTTGTTTACTGAGCACACTGGACCACATTTTTCAGACTCTTTTGATGCTAGCTGTGGGCATCTGAGTTTCAGCCAATGAAATATGAGTAAACTGTTGAAACCGGTTTGGCTCAGTAGAGTGTCGGTCTGCGGACTGAAGGGTCCCAGGTTTGATTCCCGTCAAGGGCATGTACATTGGTTGCGGGCACATCCCCGGTGGCGATGTGCAGGAGGCAGCTGGTGGATGTTTCTCTCTCATCGATGTTTCTAGCTCTCTATCCCTCTCTCTTCCTCTCTGTAAAAATAAATCAATAAAATATATTTTTTTAAAAAAGAAAGAAATATGAGTAAACTAATGTCTGCAACTTCTAGAACTAACCTATAAGAACTTTCCATATGTTACTCATTATCTGGCTAAAATGGAGGTAGCCTCCAGAGTGACAAATGTGATGAAGATGGCAGACATTACGTCCTGGCTCCGTAGTGACTGCAAAGAAAAGGGCTATTCAACCAATTTGTTTTCCTCTTTCATGCTGACATGAGAACAAGAAATAAATCGTAGCACATGACCCTCTATCCTTTTTTGTATCCATTAATTATAGTAAGTAGTATCACCCTAATTAAAACAATTACATTTAAATGTCTCCATATAAACAGATGTAACAGTGAAGGTATAGTTCTACTAATAAGTATTAAGGCTCTCAAATGCCAAATGAATTTGAATACGCTCAGACCAAACGGTACTGTTCACATATGTATATGGTCACCCAGAGCAATGTTGGCAATGATCCCACCTAGCACAGTAACAGGCATCCCCAAATTAATAATGTTTACATGTGTGTTTAGAAAATTATAAACTCAGCAAAAATCCATTTTCTTTTCATAAAATCTTCAGATTTCATATTATGGTAATATTTAAGAATACACAAAGGAAGACAAAAGTTAAATCAATTACATTTTCATTCCTCATAAACCATGTAGTTATTAAATACAAGCTAATACATCCTTAAAGTTCCAGAAATGAAACCAGGACATCACCCCCATCCCTATAGTCTCACTTTTAATAATTCAGAACATTAAAAATTAATACTGTTAATATAAAAACCATAAAAATGCCAAAATATATATTTATTCATAGAGAAACTATTTGCATAGTGTTTTGTATTTCTCAATTGTAAAGAGGAGTCAAGTTATTTAATTTTAATTGTATGGGGCTAAAAAATATATCACTTCATTTTAAAAGTTAGGATAAATTAATAAAACACAGAAAATATTACTTCCTCTTCAATTTAGTTTTGCTTTTCACCTTTACAGAATAACTTAAATTTTTTTAAAAATTACTCACACTATCTACTAAAACAGTCACTCACTATTC